GAAGTATATTATTGAGGATGCTGTTTTTGACCATAAAAGGCTAATTGGTGAGTTGTTGCATTGGTGGTGAACCAGTTTTGACGTTGCTCATATCCTTGCAGTAGAGATACTAGTTCAGTGTAGGTTGGACGAGGTGGCTTTAACATGGTTGTTGTGAATGATTCATACTTTGGGCCTAGACTTGTGAGAAAGGAGAATACCTTAACCTTATCAGGGCTTTCAATGGCTGCTAAGTTGTCACATATGCCCTTGAAATTGCGAATATGCTCGCCAATTGTTGTGTTCTCATCCTTGCACAGATAGGTTAATTGCTCTCGAAGAGTAAACTTTCTTTCCTGAGAGTCTTGCGCATAAGCTTCCTTGAGAGCATCCCAGACGGATTTGACCGTGTCTTGCCCAATAGCAAGACTAAGTGCTTCTTCAGCAAGCATGCCAATGAGCCATCCGCGAAGAAGTCGATCTGATTTTCGCCATGTGATAACATCTTTTGTGATTTTGTCTGTGGTTGATGCAGAGGACTTAGTTGGTTCGGTTGATTCTCCAGTTGTGGGATAAAATAATGGTGAATCAAAGTAAATCAATCAAACCGAAGGCCCGTGTTCACACGGTTTCCTTAAATCGAATTCGCCGCCTCACCGGGGTGCACAAGGTTTTGATCGGTGTTCGATTCCCAGGATACAATTGGTTATCGATCCACGTTGCACTATGTTACCAACCTACGAACCAGCTGTGTATGTCTCTCAAATGATTTAACAAAGGAAGAAGAAAAATAAAAATGGAAATGGAAATGGAGGAAGCTACTGGAAATGGAGGAAACGGGGTTTTTCTTTTCCTTGTTTTGTTTGTTGTGTTCCGTGTTCTCTTCCTCACTAGTGCTCCTTTATTTATACACATATAAGGAGAGATAGCCATTAATAATTTCTGCTGAAACTGAAGAGTAATGGCTGGCCAAAACTGAAGAAATAATGGCAGCAGAAACTGAAGATGAAATCAATTAAAATCTGAAACTGAAGGCAGAAGAAACTGAACTGTTGA